TTGGACAGCAAGATTGGTTGGAGCAAAATGCAAAAATTTGCAGTTCTTTTCCCCTCAGGAGAACACTAAACATGGAAAGCAACCTAGGACTCTGGTTTGGAGAGAAAGGCTTTAGAAAAAGACAAGAGAAAAGAGAGAGGGTGTAGGAGAGACAGAGTAAGGAGTCCCCCCAGGCCCCTGTTAGCTTTCTCAGAGAAGACTTTCAAGAACACATTTTTGGCCTGTGGGCTAATCTTGAAGAGTGAATAATGCCAGACACGGTGGTACATAGTTGTAATCACAGCTACTTGGGAAGATGAAACAAGGATTTCAAGTTTGGGGTCAGCTTGGGCAACTTAGCAAGATCCTATCTCAAAATTAAAAACAACAACAACAAAAATTTAAAAGGGGGAGGTAGCTCAGTAGTAGAGAGCTCCTGTATCCAACCCCCTGTATAAATAAGTAAATAAAGGGGGAATGCATGAAGATTAATAGTAGCAGTAGCCAGCGTTGACTCTGCAGCTCCCATTTTTATACCATCTGTGCCTCAGTTTCCTCATCTGTCCAGTGGGAGTAATAATTCTACCTACTTCACCAGATATAGTGCCTGGTATATAATGAGGACTGGGTGACTGTTAGCTGAAATCACCTTTACAGCCACTCTAAGGACATTGTATGCTACTCAGGACACATACCTAATCAAGGACAGCACCACTGTGTCTCATCTCCTAGAACTATGTATTTTCTCAGGGTCACATTCACTAGCCAAAGGAAGGGGTTGGGGGCAGCATTCCTGGTGGCCTGTGAAAAGATGGGCAAGAGCTTTCCAGGACTGAGGGTCAGGGACACAGCCTCCCCAGGTTCACAGTTCCAGGCTGTCATCCATTCTGCCTACAAACCAAGGTCACACAAGCAGGAGATGGAGAGAGTAAATGTTACTATCAGGACCAGGGCAAATTCTGGCTACTTTAATTGTGGGGGCCTGCGGTCTGGGTCTCTGTAGCTTTGGTTAAAAGCCTAAATAAGATGGGCGCCATGGCACATGCCTGTAATCCCAGAGGCTCAGGAGGCTGAGGCAGGAGGATGGAGAGTTCAAAGCCAGCCTCAGCAAAGACAAGGGACTAAGCAACTCAGTGAGACCCTGTCTCTTAAAAAAATACAAAATAGGGCAGAGGATGTGGCTCAGTGGTAGAATGGTCAAGTCCCCAGTCCTCCCCACCATGGAAAAAAAAAGCCTAAATAGTCTCCACTCCTCTTTATGGGTAAGGTAGGCTGTCTCAGGAAGCCTGTTCTGATTGAAGAGGAAAGCAACCTCTCTTAGGGAAGTGGTATAAATATGCAAATGCTCCCCTTCCTTAGAGAACGCTCTACTTACTGACTTCTCTGTGTGCATATGCTTATGTGTGGTTTGTGAATAGTGTGTGTGTGTGTGTGTGGGGGGGACTATTTTAAGTCCTCCTTTGCCAAGCCTCATGCTTCCTGTAAAAGTGTGTATTAATCGCTAGTGTTCTCTAGATCTCCTCTGCCCTCCTGGCCCCTCCTCCCAAGGGGGAGTGGCGTGGAGACTGGGCTCTGCCCCCAGCCCTCTTGCCTGGGATCAGCCCATGAAACACCCTCCTGGTCCTATCCTTGGGGCTCCTTTAGGTTTTGTAAAACATGTCATCAAAAGACTCTAGGTGTTCCTTAAACTTTTCAAAAACTTCTTTGGGGTATTGTCAAGCTATCTGAAGGCCCAAATAAAGTGGGCCTATCCTCTGTAATGGGAACTTTGAATGCATCCATCATCCCCCCACCGCACTCAGGCATGCAGGCATTCGCATAGGGGTTACTGAGCGTCCACTGGTCGGCGGATGGCACGCCAAATCCTAAAAAGACGAATAAGGCAGTCCACTCCCTTTCCTCTGTGCCTCCTGGAACACAGAGCGGGCCCTAAAAAAGGAAAAGCGAGAGGAGGGCGGGAGGCTGAGGAGACCACTTCCTGTGATGGCCAGGTAAGGATCGGCGGAGACCTTCAGGCTATTTCACCCTTTGCTTCTCCCCGAATCCAGACAAAAATGCTTTTGTTCACTAACCGCGGCAGGGAAGGGTAAGGCCCAGAGGCTTTTAAGGCTTTTAAATGTTGTGCGCTAGGACTGGTTTCTCCAGACGAGCCTGCAGGCTTGGTTTAGAGAATGCCCCATAGAGGGCGCTGTTTGCCAGACTTTGAATGGAGTCGTGGGCGCAGGTAACACGCAACAACCCTCGCCAGAGGGCAAGTGAACCGCTCTGTCGACGCTTGGGGATTTCTTGAATCCAAAGGATAGATCTTACTCTTTATCCTGCTGTTCAGTTTCAGCCTCCCTAACTCAGAAAACAGGCTGGGGATGCTGACACCCAAACAACCCCCTCCCTAGTGAAAGCGAGGGAGCGCACACAAGCACCAGTGCCCCTGCGCGCCCCTTGAGAGGGGAAGCACAGTCGGGACGACAAAAGAGGGGTGAGAACCCGGAAGCCGCACGGCAAGGGTCAAGGACAGCTGCATTGAAATCTTCTCACGCCAAGGCAAGCCCCATTTCCATTGGGGTCTAGTGTTGGAGTTGTGATCAACCAAGAACCCGCCCTAGACAAAAACCCTCCGTCTTTTCTCCTTTTTCTGAGATTTCCCCACCCCCACCCCTGTGCTGGGGATTGAACCCAGGCACTTTCACATTCTAGGCAAGGGCCACACCCGCGACTCTTCTGCGAAGTGATAAGCTTTTCCACTTCTCTCAGTTGAAAGGCGGCTTTCATGCGTCAAAACTTTAAGTTTGCACGCATCTGACTGTGACCGGAGAGCTCCCACAACACGAGTGCGCACCCGTAGGAGCTTCTCCTCCGCCTCACACACTTGGCCTGCTAGGTGCAGGCAATGCACACGCAACCTGCATAGACCTACGTGCCTAGAACGATTTCTGCAGTTAGGAAAAGTGACTGTTGGGTGTTGACTACTGGTTAGGTAATCTAGGCCCGGTCTCCTCTCTAGATGCTTGTCTTCTCCTATAAAATCAGAGCATGAGACACACCCTGCTTGAGTCTCAAAAATGTGACTGGTTCCAACTCGGATTTTGGATGCTGTAGCGTTTTGCATTCCAGTAAAGCCCTTCACACACTAAAGTAATAATAATTTTATATGGAAGAGCCAAAGAAAAAATAAGGTCTACTTCTGTAGGTAAAGGTTTGCTGAAACACTAAATGCACCTATGGAGATTTTACTGGGGAGGATCTGACACCCTGTGACAGAAAAATAAAACGTACCCAATTCTCATTCGGTGACCCCAAATGGTCGTGTCCGTCGATGCAGGGCCTAACGAAAAAGAAGGCATTGGGGAAGTACAGGGGCCACAAAAAGATTTTGGCTTTACATGCGTGCCAAAAGCAAAGGGTGGGTGAAGATACTTTGCAACCTTTCTTTGACTAGGGATTTGTCGTTCTGGAAGGGACCCCACAAACAATTCTAATTTATATGATTGGTTAAATCTAGAGTCTAAAAATGTCTGCTTCTTGGGCTCCTCTTGCGACCCGGGGAGCTGTTTTTGAAGCCGAAGGAGCAGAGAGACTTTCCACCCAGCTGTTCCTCAGAGGCCCGACGTGGTTCTCCAGGGACTTGAAGACCCTTGGGACAAGCTGCTGGTGTGGATGCCACCGCTAAAACCGAGGCAAATACTCCGCTACGCCTTCCTTCGATCACATAGCTACTTTTAAAGCACTGGGCAGCTTCAAACGCCAGCGGGAAAAACTTCCTGGAAGAAAGTGACTTCGGGACTGTAGGCTCACAGTTGATCCTTCAGCCTGGAGCGCAGACATCCGGAAAAGAGAAGTGCTCTTTGGAGTGCAGCGGCGGGTGCCAGAATGCTGCTACCCCAACACCCCCAAAGAGTGACGCGCGGGCGTCGGCCAGTCCTGCGCGCACACGCGGGTGCGCAGAGACGCACACCCACTTCACTTCCCAAGGGAAAGCTCACTCTTCGGTAGTCCAGAGCCAAAGGCCAAAGCTACGAGGATTCCTGAGCGCGCGGTTGCAGTGCAAGGACTCACTCCCCAACTCCCTTCCTAACGACTAGCCGGTGGATGATGAACCCAAATCTCCCTCTTCGTGGCCGCTCTCTTCTTAGCAGGCTTTGGGGGAAATGCTGAGGCCACCGGACCCTAACCGGTAGGAAAGTACTGAGTTCGTTGGGGTCCGAGGTCGCGTCCTGCCTCCTGTGTCGGAGCTGGGAGTTCTTCAGCCGCGCGGGGGCAGCGAGCCCCTGCCAAGCCCCTGGGGGCGGGGAAGCGGCAGCTGCCAGCGTTTATAACCCCGAAGTGACCCGCGAGGGCCTGGCCCGCCCCTCCCCCTCCCGCAGGCCAGGAGGCGAGAAGCGGGTCCGGAGCTGCAGGGGGGAGAGGGAGGCTCGGGCTCCTGACTAGCCCCCGTCAGTGCGCTCCGGCCGGCCGGGGGCGCCGCGGGCTCTGGGTCCCTCGCTCCTCCTGCGCTCCTAGGAGCGCTCCTAGTGCCTCTTTAGCGGGAGCCAATATCCTTTTGTGCTAATAGGTTTGTCCTCATTTGCTGCCTAATTGGACTATATAAAGCCAATAACAGGCGGGCTCTTATAGCCCGAAGCCAAAGCGCCAAAATCCTAGGGAAGGCGAGGAGGGGGCGGTGGCGGAGGCGGCTGCGGGGCCGGGGTTCGGCTGCGCCTTCGTCTGCCTAATCCCATTTGCCATTGTACGCGCCCAATCGCCGTATACTCCCCGCATTTAACTTGGATGACATTTTGATTTCATCATTAGCATCCGGCGCCGGATTGACGCAGCCCCAAGCCGGGGACTGTTCTTGCTGCCTCCTCCCCGGGAGCTGCAGCCGCCGCTGAGCCGCCTCGCTCCCTCGGTGCCGCGGCAGGGCAGCTCCCCGCCCCTCAGGACCCCTCCCCCATGCGAGCCCTCCCCGGCCCGGTCCTCACCCCGCCCTCCCGCGGCTCGATTTGCGCCCGGGGCGGCCCCCGACTTTGCGCCCCGTAGTTGAGTTCCGTTTATGGTCTGATTTCCGGCCGCTTGCCTGCTCGCTCGGCCGCCCGCCTGTCCCGCTCCCTCCCTCCCGAGGACCCGGAGGAGAGGGGACCATGCCGGAGCCCGGGCCGGATGCCTCCGGCACTGCCAGCGCGCAGCCCCCGCCTCCGCCGCCCCCTCCTCCTGCGCCCAAGGAGTCCCCGTTCTCCATCAAGAACCTGCTCAACGGAGACCACCACCGGCCACCCCCTAAGCCGCAGCCGCCCCCACGGACGCTCTTCGCACCGGCCTCGGCCGCCGCCGCCGCTGCAGCCGCCGCAGCCGCCGCAGCCAAGGGGGCCCTGGAGGGTGCCGCGGGCTTCGCGCTCTCGCAGGTGGGCGACCTGGCTTTCCCCCGCTTTGAGATCCCAGCGCAGAGGTTTGCCTTGCCTGCGCACTACCTGGAGCGCTCCCCGGCCTGGTGGTACCCCTACACCCTGACCCCCGCCGGCGGCCACCTCCCGCGACCTGAAGGTACCGACCTCTTTGAATTTTCGTTCTTCTTCCTCCCTCCCCGCGCCTGTCCCATCCCCGCTTGGAGCTGCTTATCACCGCAGTTCTGGGATCCCCCAACCCGCAAACCCGGTGTTTGGCTAACTTCCTCCCGCCCCTGGCCTGCATCTCCAGCCAGAGCGCTTGGTTGCGCTGTCCGGGAATTCAATCCCACTTGGTGAGAAAAGAGGTGGAGTTGGAGCCGGGGGCGCGGCGCTTCCCTGGAAAAGTGGCCTCCGGCTTGACTGGAGTGGCTTCAGATGGCCAGGGCTGGAAATACCGTCTGGAAAGAGGGGGTGTCTCGGGAGGACACAAGCGGATGGTGAATCTTTCCGAGGGCCCCTGGCAAGGGAGCCCCGGGAATGCAAAGGGGCGGCCCTGCTGCTGCTATCTGCTCTCCTATCTTCGGGAGGAGGGGGATCCCAGGACACGGCTTCTCTACTCCAGCCCAAACGGGAAGGAGAAGGCCCACGGGGACGATTAGGCCTCAAGGAAGGCCCGGAACCTGGAGGCCGGCGCGGGTTGATCCTGCTGGCCCCTAGAGCCGGGCCTAGCTCATGGCTGTGTCCGTGTGCGTGTGTGTGTGTGTGCGTTCTTCTGTCTCCCCAGCTTCGGAAAAAGCTCTCCTGCGAGACTCCTCCCCAGCCTCGGGCACGGACCGCGACTCCCCGGAGCCTCTGCTCAAGGCTGACCCCGACCACAAGGAGCTGGACTCCAAGAGCCCGGACGAGATCATTCTGGAGGAGAGCGACTCCGAGGAAGGCAAGAAGGAGGGCGAGGCGGCTCCGGGCGCGGCAGGGGCGAACGTGGGGGCGGCGGCGGCGACGCCGGGCGCTGAGGACTGGAAGAAGGGCGCCGAGAGTCCCGAGAAGAAACCCGCGTGCCGCAAGAAGAAGACGCGCACCGTCTTCTCGCGCAGCCAGGTCTTCCAGCTCGAGTCCACCTTCGACATGAAGCGGTACCTAAGCAGCTCCGAGCGCGCCGGCCTGGCCGCGTCGCTGCACCTCACTGAGACGCAGGTCAAGATCTGGTTCCAGAATCGCCGCAACAAGTGGAAGCGGCAGCTGGCCGCGGAGCTGGAGGCCGCCAACTTGAGCCACGCGGCAGCGCAGCGCATAGTGCGCGTGCCAATTCTCTACCACGAGAACTCGGCGGCCGAGGGCGCAGCGGCTGCGGCCGCAGGGGCCCCCGTGCCGGTCAGCCAGCCGCTGCTCACCTTCCCGCACCCGGTCTACTACTCGCACCCGGTGGTTTCATCCGTGCCACTGCTACGGCCGGTCTGAGGCCCGAGAGGGGAGGGGAAGGGAGTGCCCGGCCACCTTCCCAGACCCCACAGGAGACTGGGCCGGGCCGAGGGCGGCGAGACGTCCGGCGGCCTTGGGAACGGGGCTTCGGCGCGCTGCCTGGCCTCCCCTCCCCCAATCGGTAGAGTTTTGTAAGTATTTGCAATGTATTTTCGTGCAATTCATCTCTAATGGATTTGAGGCGCTTCTCCTCCTCCTTTTGGTTGTGGTTACTAATTAGGAAAAAGACAAAATTCCCAGGTCAAACATTCCCACTAAAAGCTTTTGTAGAGGGTGCAGCCCTTCCCCTAACTTTGCATTGAGCAGTGACTTTTGGGTTTTATTTTTATAGAAGGAAAATAAGCCCCAAACCTTAATCCCTCTAGTTCATTCATTTTCCTTTGAGCGATTTTCAGAGTCCAGAAAGAGAAAGAATTCATGGTAGTGCTTTTATTTCTGGAGTTCTGGGTGTGGTTCTTCCTCCAGTCAGTCACTTCTTGCGTTTTCAGAGTCTGAGCAGCCTCTCGTGGGAACCCCTACTCCTAGCTTTTCTCGCCTTGAGAGGTCTGTGGCAATGAATATCTTCATCTATCTCCCTTTGTGACCAAGAATCCTCTACTGAAGTGTTTAAGGAGAAAAAAAACCAAAACAGCCAAAAATCAGAACTCTGAAAATTGAAATAGCTCCACATCTGGCATGGTTTGAATAGTCTTATTTATTAGTAGCGTTTATTTGGGGGAATTTCACTTGTCAATAAATTATTGATATTACTATTATTACTTTATTCCCTATTTTGAGAGAATGGTTTTGATTTTTTTTTAAAAAAAACTTATCTTTTATCCTCTCCTCCTACCTTTTTGTTCTGCAGTAACTATTGTACTTTGACCTGTGCAATACTATACAAAATTTCCTGAGAGCCCTGCTCCTTCCTCTAAGAGGGAAGCAGATCTTTTTGCAGTATAATTGCAGTCATTCATCTAGAAAGAGAAAATTAAGCAGAGGGGAAGAGGAAAGGAAGAAAACAAGGATAGGTAGCAATGTTCAAAGGAGTAAGTTAGGCATACTGGAGCGCTTTAAGTGAAGGACAATCAATTTAGGAGAATTTTAACTTATTTGATAAATGTACAGATTTCTTGTAAAATTCACCCTCAAAATCCGCAGGGCTCCTTGCTCTGCCATCCAATCTTGTTTTCTTTCTGTCGGCTACACATGTTGTTCTGCAGTAGTTTGTTTCCCTTCATCCCCCTCTTTTCCTGGGTTCAGACCCTTTTTAAGAAAATGAAAAAACCCACAAAATATTGTTACACTTAATGTTGTCGTGAAACTGAATTAATTAAAAAGAAAAGAACGAAGTTTTCATGTTGCCAGAGTGTGTAACTTTGGATGATTTTTCCCAGAGCAGGTGTCTCTTTTCTGTCTCCCTCTGGCTGCCTCTGAACTAAGTCCGACCTGGAGGCACACCCCTATAATCCAGCAGGCGGCAGAGACAGAGGCGGCTTTGTTCGCGACCAGGGGCGCTCTCTCCCCAGTATCTTCCGCGGCTTGAAGTGCCTTGGGAGTAGGGAAGAATGGGGCGCGAAAGGGAAAAGACCTAGGTTTATCTAGCTTGAGAAATTGAGCAAAGCGACAGCTTCCAGCTTAAAGACGGTATTTTTAAACGCAGAGCTACAGCCTAGCGTTTTGTTCCCAAACCACTGTTCCTTCAAGAGTCGCGACTTTCTGGGCAGAGGGTCCTTAGGATGTCTGGCTAGGAGTGTAGTGGCTCTGGTTGTTTCTGGGGTGTTGGGGGGAATGAGGGGGTGAATTGAGAATTTAGCTTCGGGGCCTGAGGCCAATTGCCAAAACCACCTGGGAGACCCGGGCCTCGGCAAGCCCTCTGGGGAAGCCCACCAACTCTTGGCATGGCAGCTCCCACTTCTAGGGGAGGGAGCTTCAGCAAGGCTTGGGAGAACTGCCGCCGCTGTGGCTGTTTGGAATTGGGCGCTGTCCTCATATGCCAAGTGCCAGGGACCCGAAGCCACCTAGCTATGATCGCCGCAATGGAGAGAACCGTGTCCCCTCCCGGGCAATCTTTCTCTGTCCACCGACGCCCAAAGCATCGAGGACAGCCTTTCCGTGTCCCCTGTCCTGGCCGGCGCCAAGCTAGCCGCTCCCGCGGGCTGCTGGGCGCCAGCCCACCACGTCGCTGGTGGGCAGCTGGAGAGGGAAGGCGCTGCTGCCGCCTGGAAGAGCTGGTCGGCCGAGGGGAAGCCAGGTGCTTGGGAGGTCCTCGCCAACCAGCGTGGTAGCCTGCCTTCAAGCTGAGGGTGTCACTGCATACTCCTGGCAGCGCACGTTTGAAGCTGGGGAGCCGAAGCGGGGAGATGAGGAACCCGAAGCTAAGAAGATTTCTGAGAGCACGCGGCAGGACACCACCGCTGGGGAGCGCCTGCCTGCGCTGCCTCCTTCCAGGGCGTTCCAAGCTCCTCAAACTCAATCGTCACAATTGAGTCTACTGTGGCTGAAACGTGGAGTATCGTTTTCCGTTGATGGAAAACTGCTCCCAAATAAACCGGCATGCGTATTTATGGCAAAATTTTAGCCCGGACCCCAGTGAAGATCGATTTCCCTTTATTTCCCTCTGGTTTGGAATAAAAACGAGGGCATGTGTCGTAAATGAAAAATAAACAGAAATTCGGGGTCAAAATATGTCGTTCATTGTGTTACCTGCAAACATACTGATGGCTTTTACTGTTGGCAATACTAACTGCCGGACAGGCCAGTAACAGCTCATTAAAAATGATGTTGCAATAGCAAACATGTCCTTTGACTTTACAGCCAGAACACGATGTTATCAAACGCCAAGAAAATACTTCTTTATTTGTTTGGATTCTAGAAAACGGTTCTTGACTGACCTGGTCTTTACAAAGTCAAGAAATAACTGGTTCTCCACAAGCACAGTTTATCCTTTGTCCTGCTCCCAGAAGCCTCCCTTTCCCTCCTGTTGGGGAGCTCTGCTGCCCTAGCCAGAGCTTTCCTCCCTAGAAATATGGTGCCTCCCTGGGGGAGGAAAGTGATGCCAATGTGGCCTGGGTCCTGGCAGCTGTGTGAGCCTAGAAGTGGACCCAGGTAGGAAACCTCCTTCTCTGGCTGGCCTGGCTGCAGTTCTAGTATTTCTCCCAGTGCAAGACACATTGAGCCAGGGTGCAGGGATGTGGAACATAGAAGTCACTCTGAGTAAGAAGCATCCTAACCTCAACTGCAGGTTGTTCTGAGGCTTTCCTATCAGGAGAAGCCAAGAAACCACTTGATGGGACTGTCACATCTGAGGAGCTGACTGGTGTCATCTTATTCCCCCTACCCAGAGAGCCTCCCAGCCCAAACTTCTGCAAAGGAACGACTAAAAGGGGTTGGAGTTTGGGGCAGAGTGACAGTGCCTTCTGAGATTCTTCCTGCGCATTCCATAGGGGAAGTCAGGGCAGTGCATGTCTAGGACACTGAACAGACACCCTGACTTTACCCTTTGACTTCTCCAGATTTCGGAACCCAATCTGCCTACCCTAATTTCTGATTCTTCCTGATCTGCACCTCAACTAATTTTCAAGTCTCTGCAATCTTCATTTTGCCTCTAAATCCTTTCTATATGGCCCAAAGAGATACCCATGTAAACAACACAGGATGCTCTCACACTGGACATAAATGCTACACACACACACACACACACACACACACACACTTTATATACTTCCTAACAGACAACATATCTGTAGGCTTCTAGCACACACACCATGTTAGTTTAGCATCTTCTCTGTGACCAAGGCACATAGTTGGACACTCTGTTTGAGGTGACCCTGGCAGCTGGTTTTCTCCAATGGCATCAGGCTGAGGCAAACTGGGAAGAATCCTGGGAAAGGATGGGCGGGGGTCCTAGTGGCTCCTGAAAACCCCTGGGAATGTTTGTGCAGCCTCCTCATAAGCCATCTGGTCAACTAGTGGAGCTGGCAACTACCCACCATGGATTTTCTGCTACTATGGTCCAGGACCTCACTCAGAACCGAGGTCCCCACGGTGTTGGGCTCCTCGGTTCTCTGTGGCTTTGAGCAGCGTCTCTAGGCCCTGGGAGACCCGCAGAGCCAGCGCCTGAACTGTTTCTGTTGGCAACACAGATGTATTTCTTTTATTTGGTAGTAAATAGTGCGGGTGTGTGTACATCAAACAACGGCAAGACAGATATAAACTGCCCCCCTGCCACTGGCACTCATTCTGAGCAGGACGCCCCTTCGGTTCCAGGCGGGTCAGAGCCAGAGGCCACACCGGAGAACCCCAAAGCGCACTGGTCTCCTCGTCTGAGTCCGGAAGTGGAGCTGGGAGAAATAGGAGAAGGCAAAAAGGTCGGTGGGATTTGCTTTCCTTTCTAGGGCTCCACGCTGAACAAACGAGATGGGGGCGGAGGTCTCAACCGCGGGGTCCCCTAGGGCTGCTAAGCCGGCAGCCTTCCGGCGCTTGGCTGAGGCCTAGCAATGTTGTTTTCCTGGGCCAGGTCCATTGGTCCAGCTTTCACCCCTTTCGCCTGTATAGACCGGACATCTTGGCTGTCCAGGACAGCTTCCGTGCCCGCCCCCTCACCCCCACGCCAGCCGGGCGGAGCCGTCCTGCCTCTGCAGGTCGTCCATGATCAGTGACCCAGCTGGGGGCCTTTCTCCCTTAATAGTCCAAACTTAGACTCCACAGAGTATCTAGAAGACCCCCCTACGCCCCGCCCCACTGGTCCGCGCGAGTCGGGGCCAAGGCTCGAGAACCACGACTCCCGGAGCAATCCCTCCAGCGGCCAGGCAGGCTCAGTGCGCAAGGCGGGCACTGGCGAGTACACCTGACCCGGCAGGAGCTATCCTGGAGGCTCCTCCTCTCAGCTTCCCGCCCACTGGCCGCCCGCCTCTAGGGCTTGTGCAGGTCCTTCTGACTTTAGGGCATAAGCCATCCCCAACTCTTGGGTGTATGCTTCTGGAAAAGTGAACGCCTGTGTGTGTGCAGGTCCCTGCGGTTTCCGTGTGCAGAGAGGATGGCGTTGACCTTTTGATCTGCAAACAAGGAGGGGTGGTAGTGGAAGAGAGGAAAGATCTGTGAAAATAACTGTGCTGAGTATACTTTGGAGCACTGGCTGGTACCTCCGACAGGGATCCTAGGTTAAGATTGGGGATGCACTTTTCCCCCAGCTTGTTTCTCCTGCGGAAGTACTTTGAAGGGGGGATGAGGTGGGCAGCGGCGTTTGAGGCGGCAAAACACCTTAATTCTCAGTGGAACTAACACACACCCCCTCCCCCGGCATCCCCCTCCCCGCTTGGGAATCCTCCCACACACTTCCAACTCCCAGACTCCACAGTGTATCTAAAGAGCGTCTGGGCATTTCCAGAGACCCCGGCAAGGGATAGCTGGAAGCCGCAGCCTCCCTCCTTGGAGAGTTGCGGGGAGGTGCATACTGGTAGTACTCGCTCAGATCCTTTTCCTTGGCTGCTGCTTCAGGCTGCTCCAGGAGTTGCCTCTCGCGGGGGAAATTGTCCAAAGTCTGGGTTGCAGGTATTCCAAAAAGATCCCTTCCGGTTGCGATGAATGGAGAGGAAAAGGAGATGGGGGAGAGGTGTAGAGCCAGAGCGAAGGAGAGAGTGAAGGAGAGAGCTGTGTTGCGCCCATCACCCAGGCAGGAGCCGCGAGGTGGAGTCACCTGGTGTGTCTCACCCCAGCGATAATGTCTTAAAGAAATATAAAGAATCTCCATCTCTGGTGAGCTCCTTCACTGCCCTCGCCCCCCTTGGTGATGGAGTACACGCATCAGATTTTCATCAAAGTTCTATTAAGTGAAACATAGGTTGCAGGGCACCCTTTGATTGAAACAGTTTAAATTTTAATTGTGTTTTTAATTTGACATATAGTTGCAGAAAGGAATGACACTGCGTCGCCAAGGGGCGGTCGATTTTCTTAATTTCTCCCAGAGGAATTGATGAGTCTATCAGGCCACTAGATTGGAAACCCATTAAAGCTCTCTGGTTAGGCTGTTAATTGGAACTTGATGGATGTGGGAGGGGGGGTGTCAGGACTCGGCTATGCTGATCCAATCTTCATGACTTTCTGTTTTCCAATAAATTACACAATTCATTTTCCAGCCGCAGATTACATAAATTGTACACCTCTGGGGCTCTCTTTTTCAAATAGGGAGCCCTTTTCCCCAAAAGCCTATTGCGAGATGTCATTTGCACCAAAGAACGAACAGCAGAGGCCCTTGAATGAAAATCGAAACATAATCAACGTTTATACTTAGAAAATTTATTGAGATCATTTTCTCTGGTATTTCCTTATTTTAAAGTTTGGACGCGCCATATATCATAATCCACTCGCATAAAGGCGGGGGGGAGGCTGTGTTTAATATTTATCGAAGCTTGATTCCAAGATCAAACTTGTTTATGACTTCATCTGTCATTTCAGAGGGAGCCTTCTTCCACTATTACCCGGCTCAGCAGCCTATTTCCCGACCGCCGCAGAGCAGAGAGGATCAATTTTTATTAGGCTCCTCGGCAAGTTTGCTCTGGGCCGCTTTAATATTGAGCAGTGGCATAATCTCGGGACCTAAACTTTAAGCGTTCTTTCAGTCTTGGAAAGTTTATCATTCCTTGGAACCCAGTTATTCCTTATTCCTAGGAGGGTGTGAGGGGGGGCGATCCCAGAGACACGGAAGGCAATCCTCCAGGGGGTCGGCTCCTAAACCGTGCAGTAGGAAGGGGCGGAGCTACCCCGAGACTAGGAGGGCAGGGCAGGGTGTGGGAGTGGTACTGAGCTGAAGGATTGCAATACTTGGGGATAGAGAGACCCGGTGTCAATGGGTGGTGGTTGGTACATCTGAGTTCCTGGGAGTGGGTTTTGCAGCTACGCTGGGCCCAGGAGAGGGCGTCTACGGGCCTCTGAGCTCTCGGTGATGAGATCTCCGAAAGGGGTGGCTACGAAAATAGTGTCTTCACCCTTTGGACTCCTGCATTGTGACTGCTGTTGGTGCTCCAGGACCACTGGAATCGAAGAGAGCACAGGAGAGCTGCAGCCCATGGGGCCGCAGAGTGGAAAGTCTGCTCTGTCTCCACTGGCTCCGCTTTGGGCCCACCACCATTTTCCTGGCTGGGAGGTGGGGAGCGGGGACGGAACGTTTGTTGAATGAATGCGTGTGAGTAAGCATTTGTGCTCCAGGCTTAAAACGTGCCGGGTGTGGGGGCGAAGAAAATGCCCCTGTGAGGACCAGACCCTCAATGCGAACAGGAGACAGGGCTGGAGGAATACTACCCCAGATGGCTCCTGTTGACTCCCCCAAACCAACCCAGAGAGGGGAAATGGGGCCACAAGACCTCCTGGTTTTCCAGTTTGAGTCCTCCAGCCTGGCTACCCTAGTGGGCTTTCCATTTTCTTGCAGGTCTCAGAGCTGCTTATTTGAAGCCCACCTAAGAGGCCAGGACGCTGCCTCCCTTCCCTGAAAGATGTCAACTCCTTGGGCTCTGGACCCCATGCATAAACCAGCCCTGCTAGTGTCCTCGGTCTTGCCTTTCTACAAGCTCACTGTCAATGCCCGCTCTTCTCTCCCAGGGGGCGTGGCATCTGAAGTGGAACAACTTTGAGCTTCGAGCTTGCTTTCTCTGCTTGACCTATTCACTTTCTCTTCTGAGCCTCAGTTTCCTCCTCTGTACCGTGTGTGTGTGTGTGTGGGGGGGGGGTGCATCACGTTTGCTCTGAGGATTAAAGTGAACAATGTCAGGCGCTCCCAGCATGTTCCTGGCACCAACTACTAGCTAGCGCAGAAACGTTCAAACCATCTCCCCCAACCCTGAGCTTTCTTCCCCAGCGGAGTAGCTGGCTCTGCTGCCCAAGTGGACTGGCCAATTCCTTCCAGGGATTGCCTTGGCTCAGGGTGCGAGTGAGAGGCAGGGGATTAGCGAGAGTCGGACATTTCTTTCCTTCAATTTCCCCTCTACCCCACAAACGAGCGGGAGCGCGCCGGAGGGGCTGTGAGAAGACCCCGGAGCCTGCGCCGTGGTGGCGTATAGGAGGACTCACAAATTGTATTTCAGCATTGGGTCCTTCCGGGTTAATGAGCTGACACCATGATTAAAGCTGACCATTTGTAATGTGTCTCGACCCCGCCGCCGAGCCCTGAAGAGGTTAATGCGGTGACGGAGGCCGGCACCTGCCCCTCGCCAGCCTCCCGGGCCGCGGCGCACAGACCCTGGCCCCCTCCTCCCCGCCTCCCCCTGTCCCGGCTGCGCTGCTGACTCCTAATCAATTAGCCCATTAACGAGCCCTTCGAGGAGTTAAGTAGGGAGTTCTGCCACTGGCAGGGCCGCAGTGGTTACTCACCGCGGCTAATGATATTATAAGCGCTTTACTCAGCCCGGGAGCAGTGAGGGAGAGGAAGGAACTGCATCGTCATGGTGTGGCGTCAGGACATTCGTGGGGACCGATTCCACAGTATCTTCTCACTCCTGGCTGTTTTGGGGTGTACCTTAGAGACAGCTCCAACCTCTTGGCTGAGCAGTTGGAAGCTGCAGCCTGAGCCTAGGGTTAGCCTGGGCGCTTGGGCCTTGCCTTACCCCAATTTCGGTTAAAAAAAAAAAAAAAAAACAACTAGTGTAGAGGACTGTGGCCCCAAGCCTTTTTGCCGGTGCCCGAGTGATTATAGATCAGATAATAGCTGTTCTAGGAACTATGGAGCAACAGCCATAACTCCAAAGGGGACTGTGAGAAGGAGGGAGGGAACAGGGAACCCTGGTTTGTTTACCACCACGTGCCAGCTTTGGTGTTGGACATCTGAGTCTCATCACATCCTCTGCGAAGTAGGCGATTTCTTCCCTCGATTTTAGGAAACGGAGCCTCCGAAAGTTATAAGTATCTCGCCCAGCCTAGTTGAGTGGACCCTGCAAAAGTCCAAAACTGTGTCATCATAACTACCTCCTTCCGTTCCTTTCCCAGGAAAAAGTGTTTCTATTTCTCTAGCAATTACAAGACCTCCAATAGTCAACGAAAAAGAGATTCATCTCTGGCATGGGAAGGCGGGTCGGCCGCTGTTCAGTAAAGGTTTAGGAAGTAACTACTATGTGCTAGTAGCGCTCCTACAGTAGGCTTTCTGGCACTATTCCATCCATACCTGGGTGATCTTCAAAACAGAAGAAGGAAGAGATACTAATGAGTTCATTTCACCTGAGGTCAGAGACGCTTTGACTGAGACCAGACTTGTTCAAACCAGCTCGCTGGATGTAATCGGTGTTGCTGGGACTTGAACCGGCATCTCTTGACGCGCGATCTAGGGCTTCTCCATCTCCCGCCCCCAAAATCATCTAGCCCGGTTGGCCCGGGTAGGGATGGGATTGCAGGAGAGGGCAGAAGTCTGATCCTGGGACTCCCTGCTACGCTCAAGCGAACAGCGTCAATCAGACCCAAGCACTTAACCCTCTCCACCCCCACGAGGGTCGCCAAGTGACAGCTCTGCCAGTCCCTCTGGGGTTGGAAGGAGTGGAGGACTGGGGAGTGTGGTGGCAGCCTCTCGGAAGCCCTCGGAGGCGCGAAGATCTGTTGCCTGCGGCAGTGGCAGGCCATTCCAGCTCGGAGCCCCGCGCTGTCCCCGTCCCTGAAGAGGCAGGGACCCCAAGTAGATACCAGGACCTAGGCTGGAATTTACGCGGCTCTCGGCCCTTAGACGCCCCTGGCTGGACAGATTCGATGCCGGCCGGGTTCTTGCCGTACTCGAGGGGCTCTCCCGCACTAAGTGCGGGGCCCGAGCTTTTTGAAAATTTCCGGGGCAGCTCTGCGGCGCTGCGATTGGCCGCGTTCGGGTAACCTCTATGCAAATGAGGCCGCGCCGCCTCCGCGCAGCCGGAGACCCCGCTAGCTGGTGGGCGAGGAAGGGGCATTTACACTGGGTCTGGGCGGGCGTACCTACAGCCGGGCGGGCAGGGACCTCCGCGCAGCCGTCCGGTACCCGAGTGTCCCCTGCGCGGAAGGGGCACCCCACCAACCTCCCCGCCCCCTCCCCCTAGCTCCCCTCTCCGCCCCTCCCCCCTGCCTGCCTGTCTGCACCACCTTCCGCCCAGATCGTCTCTAAAGGGAGTTCTTGGTTTCCTCCGATTTCTTATGAACCCAGGATGGGCAGCAAGGAAGATGTGGGCAAGGGGTGTCCAGCTGCCGGTGGCGTCTCCAGCTTCACCATCCAGTCCATCCTGGGCGGGGGCCCCTCCGAAGCACCGCGGGAGCCCGCCGGCTGGCCAGCCAGGAAGCGCAGCCTGTCGGTGTCCTCGGAGGAGGAGGAGCCGGACGACGGCTGGAAGGCGCCCGCTTGCTTCTGCCCAGACCCGCACGGCCCCAAGGAGCCAGGCCCCAAGCACCACCCCCACATCCCTTTTCCTTGCCTGGGTAAGGATCGCACTCTGCAGTCTGGCAGCGAGTGAGCGCTAGGGGAGCGAGGCTGCGTGCCCCGTCTTGACTCCCCCTCGGGTCAGATCTTGGCCGCTGGGGGTCTGGGGCCGAGGGGAGGGCACAGCAGCGCGGCAGTGGCTTCTCGGCCCGGGAAAGCTCTGGAGGAGAAGGACAGCACACCCACCGCGCGGCTTGGGCTTCTTGGGGGAAGGTCGGGTTGGAGAGAATGTGGACCACAGCGGTCTGGGCACCTGGCTGGTTGTACACAGGGCTGTGTGCTCAATCCCGTTGCACACAGGATACTTTCTTTCCAGACAGGTGGTCTGCAAGTCGGGTCTATATGTTCTGTCTCTACTGCATTCTCTGCTCTGCTCCCCCCCCCCCCTTCTGTCTGTGTCTCCGTCTCCTCCTCGGAATGATTAGCACTCTAAGATGATTGACAATGGTGCGTTTCAGAGACGGTTCCTCTTTACATTTGAGGAAGGAGATCCCGAGTTGGTCCTTAGCGTGATTTCTAAACAAATGGCCTGTGAAATGAGGCTGACCTATTTAGCTGGAGGAAGTCTTCCAGCTCAGTTATAACAAGACAAACTCACCTTTATAATGGTAACGTTCCCCCTCCAGGCCTCCTCTCCCTGCTGCCACTTATCCTTTCATAAAGGTGGGAGCACAGAGACCCCAGACTCCCAGACTCCAATAGCTGGGTCCTTCTTCTGTAGCTTTAATAGGCGGAGGTGCTGGGTTTGGGGGTGCTTGTTAGAGGGAGAAGAGGAGGGAGTTGGTAACATGGGACCAAGATTGCAGACTTCTGCCAACACTCTGGTCCTGGGAAGAGTTGTGGATCTCCAAAGCTCTTCAACTCCAAGGCCTTCCTGTCTGTTCTTATTTCTCAGGTACTCCTAAGGGCAGCGGAGGCGCAGGGCCGGCGAGCTCCGAGCGTTCGCCTTTTCTCTCTCCTTCGCATCCGGACTTTAAAGAAGAGAAAGAGAGGCTCTTGCCGGCGGGCTCTCCCTTCCCGGGACCGGAGCGGCCGCGGGACGGCGGCGCCGAGCGGCAGGCGGGCGCGGCCAAGAAGAAGACGCGCACCGTCTTCTCGCGCAGCCAGGTGTACCAGCTCGAGTCCACCTTCGATATGAAGCGCTACCTGAGCAGCTCGGAGCGTGCGTGTCTCGCCTCCAGCTTGCAGCTCACCGAAACCCAGGTCAAGACTTGGTTCCAGAACCGCCGCAACAAGTGGAAGCGGCAGCTCTCGGCCGAGCTGGAGGCGGCCAACATGGCGCACGCGTCCGCGCAGACTCTGGTGGGCATGCCGCTGGTGTTCCGGGACAGCTCGCTGCTGCGCGTGCCGGTGCCACGCTCTCTCGCCTTCCCCGCGCCGCTCTATTACCCCAGCAGCAACCTCTCGGCCTTACCGCTCTACAACCTCTACAACAAGCTCGACTACTGACCCATCTGCCCGCGCGCGCCCACTCTCCGGCTCGCCCGGGACCTCTTCGACTGCCCCGGAGCCCGGCGCGGGCTGCACCCTTCACAGACCTCCGGAGTAAAGCGACGTGATTCCAGAAATATTAAGAAATACACCATGTGTATTCATTATCTCTTATTTATGGCCTCCGCCCTACTTTTTGTTTTGTTTCGGGTATTTATCGGTATTCCTCAAACCAGATTGCCTGCTTTCTACCCAAATGAAACCAATACGCTTAGAAAACCACTTTGGAGAGGGACATTCTCGGGTGGTGATGGGAAAAGGAGTTTTGGCCAGATTGGCTTTGATTGGTAGAAAAAAATCAGAAAAATACCAACGAAACCAGGTATATTCTCCCCCCCCCCCATGTATACACCTGTACATATGTACATGCACACACGCTCGGCCAAGCCAGGCCCTCAGGGGCTGTGGACAATGATCTAATAATCTCTTTTCATTTCCTTCATCCCGAGGATGGGTAGGGGCGAAATGGGGAGAGTTCCGATCTGTAAATATTTTTAAAGCGGAGAAAAAAAAATAAAACATTTTAAACATCGTTGCTAACTTTGGAGGGGTTAATTGCCCAGCACGACAATGCGCGGAAGGTTTCCTCCATTTTCCGTGGTAGAGTTTACAGGCGTCTGCAAAGATCGGACTCGCACCCTGTGGAGGGTGGGGCTGGGATCGGGGGTTAAAGGTCTGGGTATAGCCACTGCCCAGGCCGCACGTGGCTGGAACTACACATTCCCTCCCACCCCCATCCAATTGCGCAGAATCCCCGTGCGGGCTGGGGCTCACTTCGGATGGAATCCAGCTCCAGAGCCCGCGGGGAGAAAGACAAAGGCCGCGAACCGGTCTTGCTGCTGAAGTAGTAGCCTTACGGGATTGGGCCAGGCCAGGGCGCGAGGAGCATCCTGCACAGTGATCTTCTTGGACTTGGCTGAAGCAGGGCGCGCAACGCCCTGCTTCAGGGCAGCGGGCAGCGTTAATCTGGTGAAGGGTCTGCTTGTCGCCCTTAGCCCAGCGCCACCAGCTTGCAGTCACGCACAGTTCCCGGGTCCGTGAACAGATTGTGACCCGCGCGGAGCGGGAACTGAATGCGGAAAGGCCGCTTTTCGGCCAAGGAGGGCTCCGAGGCCCGAAAGAAGGCGCAGGAGACAAATGCTCTTCCCACACTCTTTTGTTGTTAATAGTTTGCACAGTGCGTGGCTAAATGGCTGGGTCACCAGCCAGCATGCTGCTGTTCCTGAATTGAAAAGTGATGCGAATAAGAGGCGCCCACGGGCTTCCGTGTCCAGACACCTGCCACCACGTTGAGACTGGGAAGATGCTGCCTGGAGAGAATAGCCGCCGGAAGAATAGCCGCCAGAGAGGTGCAAATAGCAAACCCTCTCTCTCCTGTTAAATTGCAGCCACCTGTTCCTTATAAAGCGTCGGAAAGCAAAGCATTAGCTTGGTTCAGCAATAAGTAGGGCGAGCTCCTGCCTCCAGCCAGCTCCATCTTAAGCTGGTACTAAAGAGCTGGGAGTTCACAGCTCCAAGCTCCATCTCACCCTCTAGAAGGGAAACATTTCGGTGAGAAACTTGTCTTTTAGAGCCAAGAAACATAGAAATTATCTGCATTTTGTGAAAATACACAGAATATCTGTAAATGTTTATGTGACCCACAGTATTCTGTGTAAACTATCTGACCAAAAAGATCTGCTGTTACATTGACCTTTTTTGCTTTTCACATTTTCATAGAAATCACAACTATTTCAAGGTGAAGTCAGGAAGAATATTACCCAAGGATGAATCTGCCAATACTAGGTTGGTTCAATTGCATTTACTGCGTTTCAACTGAGTTCAGGTCAATGCATATTTCCTGGGCCCTGAAACATACGGAGAACCCATTCTAAATTTTGGGTGGTCAGAGAAAGAAAACAGGTTTCACGGAGGATCCATTTTCTGACTTTTTGTGTACACATATTTAGTTCACTGAAGTTCTCTTGCTCCAGATAATCCTCTTTAAATTGTTTTCCTCTAACCGTTGCTATTTGAATATTCCATGCAGAAACAACCAAATGACATCCAAGGAACTTCTTGTATAGGGATATTCCATCCATAGCATTTTGTCTGCATTTCAGTAAGTTAGTTACAGTTTGAAGATGGTTTTAATAATATTGATGGGTTTTAATAACATTTTCCTTAGGCTTGCTTCTTTAATAGGAAGTGGTTTCCCCTAGTCACCGGAGGCATTTAAGGAGAAAGTTTGCCTTGGCGATTTTAGGGAATGACCCTTTTACAGTTTATCTTAAATAATGTATATTTCACCCATTTTCTAATCCAGGATTTAGCCGTCATAGATGATCTAACAGTGTAATTACGTTCTAGGAATTTCACAGTTAACTCTAACACACATGTACACATAGAACTTTGCATTTGGATTTAATATGTTCAAGACTCCATTGTTGCCAGATTTCCTATCTCAAGCCTATCAATTCATTTGAATAATAAGCCAAATCATCAGTCTCCTTTCAGGATCTAAACTGGATTTAAAAGATTGACGTTTCTTAAAACTCAAATTGAGTCGGGCTGCAACTGCATGCCCAGAGGGACCTGAATCATACACTGGATAATGAAATACACTTAGATTTTGTTAGTGGATAATTTATGCTCAGAATCTTGAAACACTAATAGAATTAAACAACTGGGAGAGGGAACCAAATAAGTCAGGAGATAAAATTATTTAGCTTAACTTAGAATGGAAGTAAGACACTACATATGAAATCATTCAACTTGCCTATTAACTTGTTAAAAGAGAAGAAATAGAGAAACAAAAACTAGGAAAGGTAAGGAAGAAGGGCAAGAATCTTTTAGCAGTAATATCAATGTAATAAGTAGAAGGGTTGTCATTGTACATGTTTATTGTCAGAAATCTTAAGAAGTGCATTCATTCAGAGTGTGAATGCATAAAGATCAACAGTTCTCTCTTATTAATGTACCTTAAAAGTTAAACATTTTAACCCCAACAATTGCCTCCTGCTTCATACAAAATTATATAATAAAACTTTTTTTCTTAAAAAGGTAGTGAAAAAGAGATCATAGAATATAGATTAAATTGAAAAATTGAGGCTCAAGAGTAACTCAGTTACTGAATTCTATTGATTAGGCATTAATTTTCTTTAGTTGAGATGAAATAATTTCTCATTACTGAAAAGCTTCTTGGTGCTCTGTATTCTGGAGGACTTCAGAAAAAAATGGGAGCAAACAGCCTGAAACCTTGTGGAGTAGCAGGGTATGGTGGAAGGGAAGAGGCTTGTCATTGCCCTTTGAGGATTCCAGGACAAATCTGCTGTAACACATTGCAGAGTATTTGTTTACTAGTCTGTTCATCCTTCTGAATACTGGGAGTTCCTTCAGGACAAAGACTAGTCTGATTAAATACATCTTCCCAGAGCCCTTCACCAGGGCTGGCATGCAGTGGATGCTCAATAAGTTCATAACGATGGGGTGAAGAGGTAAAACAATAAGGACGAGATTCTAAGGGGTGGGCAGAATTTTAAGACGATGGGAAACATGAGACCTGGTTGATAGTACAAACGCCAGGAAAATGAGAAAGAATCAAGGCAAAACAGGGCAGTTGATCAGAGCAAGTATTTCCTCTCTATTTCAATTTCTGGTTCATTTTACAGACGTATACACGCCAAAAAGAGAATGATTTAGCTCTATAGGAGTATTGACCAAAAAGGGATTCTTAAGTCTGAGTGATTACGGGGGAGGAGGGCGCCACTGGCGGACCTTAAGACCTACTTTCCCGCCTACTGTTCAGAGCACAAACAGGGCATCCGCCCGGTGGAAACTACACCACCCAGGATGACACGCACAGGCGTGGGCGGATAAGAGCGCGTCCTTGGCGCGATGCTACTTGGGAGTTGTAGTTTCTGCTCCTACGGCACGAGTTCGGGGGTCTCAGCGTGCTGGTAAAATGAGACCACGTGATCGGAAAAACCGCGGTTTCCCTTTGAGCCGGAACTGGAAGACTGCTTTGACCGTCACCGAGCAGCCGAACGGGCCAATAGGCTGCTTAGAGCGAGCCGTTGGCGTTTTAAAGCAGCCAATGGCAGAGCTATGCTGGAGCTTCCTCTCCGCCTCCTACGCCCGGCCGGAGAGTGCTCCGAGGGAAGCTGCGAGGCGGCGGCAAGCCGTTGAGACGCTACTTCGGAGGCAAGCTCAAGGTAGCGGGACGAGGCGGTGGGGCGCAGGAGCGTGCTCTCCGCGGACCTCGCGGGTCCGCGCTGGCGGAGCCGTCTGCAGGGCAGCTCGTTTCGCCTTCTTCGCTTTTAAGACCGTCTGGGGCCCCGGGGAGGGGAGGCGGCAGGGCGGGTGTGGGCGCCCGGGGCGGGCGGCCCTGAGCTGGGGTGGGGGTGCGGCGGCGGAGGCGGCGGCCCGTCGGGCCAGGGGCGAGGCCGTGCGTGGCGGACCCGGACTCCGCGCAGGCGCAGACGCCGCCCTCCTCGGGCCCTCGGGCGGCCAGCGGGCTCTGCCCTCCCACCCGGGACCCTTGGGGACTCGGACTGCGCGTCTGTTCCGCAGATGACCGGTTCTAACGAGTTCAAGCTGAACCAGCCGCCCGAGGACGGCATCTCCTCGGTGAAGTTCAGCCCCAACACCTCCCAGTTCCTGCTGGTCTCGTCCTGGGACACGTCCGTGCGCCTCTACGATGTGCCGGCCAACTCGATGCGGCTCAAGTACCAGCACACCGGCGCCGTCCTGGACTGCGCCTTCTACGTAGGTGCCCGCCCCCTCCCCCCTCCCCCTGCCCTCTGCCGCGCCGGGAAGTGTCCGGTTAGCAGCGCCCCTTTTCCGGTGTCGGGTAGATCTCTGTGGGAGTTCTTTGGACCGCTCGTTGGTGTTCGGCAACACCTGCTCGAGCCGGACACTCTGTTTCTTGTTGGGAACGTGCAGATGTCCTAAACCCTGTGAACTTCGTGGACTTAACGATGATTCGTGTTTGAAATTTGCAGCTGGACCGATGTGGTTGCCCCATTAAAAGGGACATGTAGAAGGAATGCCTGTTTTACCCTCAGCCAGTGGGATGAACTGAGCCCTCCCTCAGTTTGTTGACAGTGGTTTTTGTGACCACTTCCGCCCTTTTTGTTTACAGTGAATAGTTGTGCTCAGTGTGTGCTGTTCCCAGCATGACCTGAACAGTTGGCCATAGAGGTAGGCATTCTGAAATGCTTTTTAAAAGCTCTGTAAGTTTTAAGTGCCTTGAAACTTTATTTTGTAGGATCCAACGCATGCCTGGAGTGGGGGATTAGATCATCAGTTGAAAATGCATGATTTGAACACTGATCAAGGTAATGTAACCACATTTTTAACCATTTTTCTTCACTGATTATTAGAGTGTAAAAGTTTAGGAAGAATGGTTGCTGAATTTCTTAGTTATGGAGATAGAGGTAAAAGTGGTATGAATTTAGATATTTTTGTCTGAATAACCATTAAGTTACTGGCCACAAAACATTATGCATATATTTTTGCACTTTGATCTCCATCCTAAGTGTTTACATGAAGTGATACTTAATTATTTGACTTTTACCTCATCCTTAGAAGTGAATTAGAACATATAGTGGTCCATGTTTTAATAGAATGTTCCAGGATAATGCTTATGTTTTAGGGTTCTTCTTTCAGAAGGTAATTAAAACTGAAGGAAGGTATTTTCATAAAAACAAAACATTGTAGAAAAGCTAATAATGTTTATTAATTCTGCTTATTTACTTAGTAGAATATGTTTCTGTTGCATTTGTTAAGAAAATAATTTCTTAGAGACCCAGATATGAAATGACCAAATTTTTATGATCATACTAAGGCAGAGCACACATTGGAGTAGAACCCAAACATCAGAGCTCTCTAGCTGAGCATTTGTCCTTACTTTAGACAGATAAATTTGAAGGAGATGGCAGGGAACCTAGAAGCTGAGTTGATCAACAGGATGGTGGATGGAGGACAGGCACATTTTGTCAAAAAAAAAAAGAGACTTGCAAAAGACTTGTTATGGAACTTAAAATTAATGTTGTTGGTTTTGTTTGTCTGTAGCTTGCCCTGTGTAGTAAATTACCCTGTAGGTTAAGTCCTACTTACTCACAAACTTGGGAAAAAGAAACTTGATTTTCAGTGTTTAGGCTGTAACTTAAAGATAATTAGTTGTTTATTCTGATCATCATTGCCAGACTTCATGAGATACTTGCAACTTGTTTTAATATGCTTTTAGAAAGGTAACATTCCTGTTTAAGAGTCAAGACCATGTGCTATTCTTGTATGCCTAGGTTGCATGGATTTGGGCTCATATCTAGATGGAAGTTGAATGAAGAAATGAGATATTGTGAAGGTTGAAATTGAGAAAAGAAATTATGTGTTGGAAATTTGACCTACCATGAAAACCAAGTGGAATAAATTATAAGACTTCATCTCCAGCTCTCATAATCCCATAACCACATGAATAACTTTCTTTAAAGTATTGGCTTAATGTGTAAGATAAACATTATTGAGTTCCAGAACCTAGGGTTCTTCACCCATTTGTTCATTCAACAGGTATTTCTTGAACACCTAGTGTGCACCAGACCTTTCATTAGATACAGAGTTAAAAACAAGCTTCCTGATAAGAAATCTAAAATTCAGTAAGGAAAGTAGTAAACATGCCACCTGTTTAAATGTAATCTGAAACTCAAGGCAGCCTTTGATATGCAATATGCTAGTGGTTCAGACTTGCGCGGTAAGATGACCAGAGATGAATGGATAACTTTGTAGTAATGAAGATATTTTTGTGTATGCAGACATTTCCATGGATATTGAATGAGGCAGATTCATTGCATTTGTTCATTTGAGTACTCTTGTTTAGTTGAGGTAGTAAAGCTAGTTGTTGGGTTTTTTTCTTGTAGAAAATCTTGTTGGAACCCATGATGCCCCTATCAGATGTGTTGAATACTGTCCAGAAGTGAATGTGATGGTTACTGGAAGTTGGGATCAAACAGTTAAATTGTGGGATCCCAGAACTCCTTGCAATGCTGGGACCTTCTCTCAGCCTGAAAAGGTAGGATTTTTATATTTATCAGGAATTGTAGTTCTCAGGGTGACTATGCTGTTGAATTTAATGATTAATATGCTATTGAATTTAATGGTTAAGAATTGTGACAGTCTCTTTTTATAAATGCAACAACATAGAAATGCTTTAGTGCAAAGGAAATTAACTTTGGAATGAATTTTAATCTCTTTTTTCTGTCAGTTGTTAACACTTGTACTAGCAAGTGAGAGCTTAAATGAACCTGCTTCATGTATTAATACTTTAAATCTCAGGACTGAGAAGCAGCTCATGGTCTTTGTAAAGAGGTCATTTAGCAAAAACTGTTCGATTGTCGTAAATTGGATTTGACATGCCCCAAACAGAAAATGGGATGGAGCATCACTCATTTTCAGTTGTGACCTGAGGATTCATTTGAGTTAACTATTACAAGGGTGAAATGGGTTGTCATTTCAAGTTTAGCAAGAAAGGTATCCTACTTCTTGACTGTTTATATATACACATTTTTTTTTTTTTAATGCTGATGTAGTTTGAAGGTTCTTTTTGAATGGAGTTTTTAAAAAGTGAAACTTTGTTATTCTAACCTTTTGATCTGCATGATAAAATAGTGCATTCTTGCTGTATCCTCATCAGACTTTATCAGGGGGTAGTTAATTTTAAAGATTGATTGTTTTAGCAGTTTAAAGGTATCCTTCACTTGAGTCTATTTCCTCAGTGTAAATATGCTATTCAGCTGCTGTTAGCTATCATTACATATAGTGGTGCATCCAAAGAGCCATTATTTTTGTCACATCACATTCGAATCTACTCCTGGCAAGACCTTTGTTCAGAATAAAATAATTGCATTGTTTCTAGTTTTGATTTATGGTTGTATGTAACATGTTAAGAACTGTGATAAATTGCTGACAGAATATCATATAATGGACAGCCATACTGAATCAAGCTGCTTATTGGTTCAGCAAGGTTCATTATGTCACTTTTTTTTTTAATACTTTCTTTGATAAATGTATATACCTAGTCAGTAGCATGACAGTGGTTTCACTTGATTTATGATCAGTGAGGTTAGAAAGAACCGTTAGAAGCTTGTGTGTCACGTGTTCAGTAAAGATTTAAGGTAAAGTTCCTGATATGATTGTACCATTACAAATTGATCTCTCTGGATTTGGTATTTTCTGCAAATATTTTGTTTGTGAATAAGCTATGGTGAATCTTAGGGTATTATTCTTCATATTTAAGTCTCCCAGAATTACATCTGTTAATTTCATTCTTTTCAGTTCTTATTTTTCCCTTGGTCATATTAATTATTGAAAAAATTTTTAAATATTCTTTTTAGTTGTTGGTAGACCTTTATTTAGTTAATTTGTTTATATGTGGTGCTGAGAATCGAATATAGTGCCTCACACATGCTAGGCAAGTGCTCTACCACTGAGCCACAATCCCAACCCCTAATTGTTGAATTTTAAGTCCATATTTTAGAAACTGCCATGGGGGCATTGCGTTGTAACTTAACTTGGTTGTTTGTTGTGGATTGTAGTTAATACACTAGAGATTAAAAACTGTATGGTTTACTTACTGAGCATTAAAGATGCACTGTCTTGTGGGGCCTCTCTGCTTTTTTACTTTGTTTAGGTGCTGGGGATTTAACAGCCCAGGGCCCTGGGCATGCTAGGTGATCACACTCTCAGCACCAAGCTATATTTCCTGCCCTCTATTTTTTTTATAGCAATTCTTCAGGGTGAAAAATATTAGGTCAGGTTAGAGTTACATATTAATTGAAAATTATAACCTCAATTTTGGATATCTAGTCTAGATTTGAAAATAGTGACTTAACATGACCAGGAAATATGTTTTTTGTCTCCTTTTTCATGAATTTAATGCCTCTGTCTGTGAGTAACATGTTTGTAAATGAACCACTAAATATTTTGCTTGCAGGAAATTTGGTGACTTATAAAGAAGTTTTTGTGGCTATTTTGGTTTTGAAGATTAAGCATTAGGGTAAAAAACTAGACACTTAAAGGGCATGAAATAGTTTTAAAAATCTTTCCTTAATATAAACTTCTGCTTTGAATGTTATTGAAGATGTTAGCCATAAGAATTAGCTTTGAGGGCTGGGGATGTGGCTCAAGCGGTAGCGCGCTCACCTGGCATGCGTGCGGCCCGGGTTCGATTCTCAGCACCACATACAAACAAAGATGTTGTGTCCGCCAAATACTAAAAAAAAAATAAATGTTGAAATTCTCTCTCTCTACCTCTCTCTCACTCTCTCTAAAAAAAAAAAAAAAAAAAGAATTAGCTTTGACACATGCAGATTACTGTTCTTGTTGTCTTTTTTTTTAAAATCTGAGGACTGAACCCAAGGTCTTGTATATGGTAGGCAAGGACTCTACCACTGAGCTACAACCCTCCCTCCCCTCCACTCACCGTTTTTTTTTTTTTTTTTAAATTTTGAGACAAGGTCTTTTGCCTAGGCTAGCCTTGAAACTTGTGATTCTTCTGCCTCAGAGTCCTGAGTAGCTGGGATTATAAGTTTGTGCCACCACTCCCAGCACCTTGCCTGTAAATTTTGAGTTTGTGTGTCACCAAAAGCAACCAAAGTTAATAATGACTCCCTCACTTTACTTGGAAAGGCCTATTTTTTCGTTATAATAGTTGGGATAAGTCAAGATTTTGAGTCAACAAATGAAATCAAAAGGTGGTTGTGGAAAAGTAACTTGGAAAATGTTTTATGAAAGGTTAGAAGCTCATTGAAAGGTATCTTGAATTATTTTATGTTTTATTGTCTCATTTTTGAGTGCTTTTTTTTTTCATTTTTGTCTAAATGAAAGAAGGTTGGGAAAAATTGTTTTGATAATGAGTTGTCTTCAAAAGTTTCTCTACAGGATTAGAATGTACCTTATATGATACTGATGAAGAATTAATATCCAGGATTTGCTATTTTGTGTGCATTATTTGACTTGAATAACTGTAGCATCTAAAATTGTTGCTTGTGTTTGGAATTTAACGGATTAATTTTTTTAATACTTACATGGATTTCATTTGGAGGTGAAATGCTATTTTCAAGATATAGATGAATTTTAGCAATTTCTCATCTCTCTTAAAAGGTGTATACCCTCTCAGTGTCTGGAGACCGGCTGATTGTAGGTACAGCGGGCCGCAGAGTGTTGGTGTGGGATTTACGGAACATGGGCTATGTGCAGCAGCGCAGGGAGTCCAGCCTGAAATACCAGACTCGCTGCATAAGAGCATTTCCTAACAAGCAGGTACTGATCTACTCTTTCTCCAGTTCTGGTATTTGAGAATAATATCTTATATGATGATAATTTGGCTAGTACTTTCAAGGTGTTTTTCTTTTTTGAGTAGTGACTTAGAATTTGCTGTTAGGAAAAAAAAAATTGCTGTTAGCTATATTATTACTTAACACTTTAAACAATCTCATCTTAAAAGGTAATGTGTTAATAACCTGCATTTTAGAGAAGACCTTAATGTTCAGAGAGGTTAAATGATCTGAATGGGATCACTCAATAGTTAGAATAGAGGTCTTTGGATTTTTCTGTTGATTCTGATCATGTACAATAATTTAAAGAGTTTTGCAGATATTTTAGTTTACAGACCAGTGAATTAAAACAGATCTGAAAATCTGTTTATAGGATTCGCTATTTTCTTTTTGCCTTTTTCTAATTGTAATAATAATTGTTTTTTCTTCCATCTGACATTAGAAATTTGATTTTCTGAACTCCACTGAGGTTAGAGAGGTAGTGTCCTTCACGTGAAGACTAATTCTATTTTGTGTGTGTACGCGTGTGCATGATGTTCTGGGGATGGAATCTAGGGTCTCATGTATGCTAGGCAAACACTATCACTGCATTATATTCCCAGCCCTACAGACTAACTTTTGATATATAGGGTGAATTGCTTTCCATCTTCATTAAGGAGACTAGCTTGTTTATTAGTGAGCTCTTTCCTACCCCCAATTCATAAAGTTATAAGGGGAGCTGGTAATGCTGTAAGTTACAATAGGAATTTTGCAGGAGAAAAAGTCATTAGAAATCAGCAGGTATGTTTGAAATCATGGTGCCTGTCATTTAGTGTTGTGGAATTTGAAGCAGTTGTTAAGTCAGTTATTCTCTTGGTTTTTTTAATCTCAAAAGGCCAGTATCTTATATGGTCATCACAGTTCTTTTCCAGGAAAGTATACATTTTTCATCCCTGACAAGGAATTGCAGTTAGGTGAAACTTTGGGATTTAAGTATGTGATCAAAGGATTATTGTATTATAGAAATTATTTTTATTTCTTCCCTTTTTTCTTTAAAGTCAATTTATTTATTATGCTTGTGATGGGAATTGAACTCAGGGCCTTGTGCATGCATGCGAGGCAAGCACTGGAACAACTGAACTATATCCCAGCCCCTGTTTTAATTTTCTGTCAGACTGTCTTTACTTCATAATGGAAATTTAACATAGATTTTTACTGACTTTTTCTCATAAGCAGTTTTTAGGCATAACTCTTTTTTCTCTCGAAAGGATTGAAAAAAATGAAGATTGAAAACAGATTTTATATTCAGCATATTATCTTAAGTTTTATAGCATGTTGTCATATCATGGAAAGGTGAGAAAAGGTTTGAAATTGTAAACCATTTTTGACCATTCCTGAAGTGTCTGCTGTGTACTAGCCGTGGTAAATTCAAGAGGTGGAACAACTGAAATGCAGGACTGATATTCCAGTCGATTTGTGTTATTGATGCTCCCAGTGACGGAAACACAGTTCTTAACAGTTGTTAGAGATGAAAAGGCATAGAACGATAAAATAATATATTTAACTGAGGGAACAAATTTGAGTCCCTTCTGGACAGGAAACATAAATGGTACTAAAACACTTTAAAAATTCTTGTTTAGGTTTGATAAAATAGTTGGACCTTTCTGATTATCATGTGTAAGACACAGTAAAGAAAGCAAGTGATGACAGCCTTTTTTTTTTTTTTTAAGATAAAACAAATTAATGTTCTAGCTTTTTAGAGTTGTCATAATTGTCAGTACAGCTTAAACATTTTGTTAAAACCTGGCCGTACTTTTTTTCATTTCTGAAAGAGTCATCTTTCTTTGGTATGGATTGAATTTGGGAACTAGTGCCTTGTTTATGGAAGCTGGTTTACCATTTTTGTTCTCTGGTTTGCTCTTGACAGGGCTATGTATTAAGCTCTATTGAAGGCCGGGTGGCAGTTGAGTACTTGGACCCAAGCCCTGAGGTACAGAAGAAGAAGTATGCTTTCAAATGTCACAGACTAAAAGAAAATAATATTGAGCAGATTTACCCAGTCAATGCCATTTCATTTCACAATATCCACAATACATTTGCCACAGGTAAAGTATGGCAAGCTAACTTATATTTAATTATTATGATTATATGGTTTTTAAAATTGAACATTATTTGGGCTTAGAGTTATTTTAAAAATTTGTGCTTTTTTTTTTTTTAAGCTATTTAAGGAAAAAAATCTGTAGCACTTCTTGGGAGAAATGTAACTTAAATGGTCTTAAAAATTAGATGTTTAAGATAATGGTGTTAACCAGTTTAACTATTTTGAAATTACTTGCAGGTGGTTCTGATGGATTTGTAAATATTTGGGATCCATTTAATAAAAAACGACTGTGCCAGTTCCATCGGTACCCTACCAGCATCGCATCACTTGCCTTCAGCAATGATGGGACTACACTTGCAATAGCATCATCATATATGTATGAAATGGATGACACGGAACATCCTGAAGATGGTATCTTCATTCGCCAAGTGACAGATGCAGAAACAAAACCCAAGTGAGTATGCTTCACCTGTATTTGAGCCTTTTCTTGCATTCAACCCAGGATTTATTAATTTTTCTACATTCATGAATAGCATTGTTGATGCCTGCTCGATATTACAGCCGACTGTAGGGTTGGAGTTGATTTTATCTTGTTCTCCCAAGCTTTCAATATCCGTAGGTTGATAGACGTCTGATGGATAAAATTGTGCCTAGTTGTTTTGTAGAGAAGAATGTCAAACTCTCATTCTTCTTGAATAGACTCTATTATTTGAATCTCTGCAGTTATTACTAGCTCATTGCTTCAAAATTAAGTTGAGGAATTCAAGAATAATTTATTTTAGTAAATTCTATTTAAGATATTTAAGAATTTGAACTGCCAAAAACTTCCCTCTCCACAGAGGTCATTTCTATAGTATTTACACAAAGCAAATGACCTTCAGGTCTTATTAAAAACCCAGAATAAGATGCCCTTGCCTAGAATAGCAAATTTCCTTAGTTTTGAAATTTTCATAGATGTCTTTGGCTCTTGGTTGTAATTGTTGACTGAGAGGAATCATTTGCATTTTTCCATATCAGTAAGGCAAAGCTTTTTACTTTAGTAGCCTCTACCATGCTTATGGTACTATAAAATACCCATAGAGTCTTTGTATGATTTTGTGTCCCTGTGTTCAGGCCCTTGAAGGAAGTCCTCAGTAAATATTTGTGGAATAACTGAATGTTTTCAGGATTCTTATGCTTTTCTCAATTAACATGGGTATGGTACCCTTGCTAAATCAGTTGAGCCCCTGAGAAGGAGCAGAATGTTGAATATTCAGTATTAGCATATTTGACTTTAGAAAAGTCTTAGCATGTGAAGCCTGTTGGATAAAGGGCTGTGTTTACATTTGATCTGTCACTTTTGTATCTCTTGTCCTGGCCGGCCATTTTGATCTCATGCTCTTCTTTTTTTCTTTTGAACTTGTAGGTCACCATGTACTTGACAAGATTTCATTTACTTAAGTGCCATGTTGATGATAATAAAACAATTCGTACTCCCCAATGGTGGATTTATTACTATTAACAAAGAAACCAGGGAAAATATTAATTTTAATATTATAAGAACCTGAAAATAATGGAAAAGAGGTTTTCTTTTTTAATTTTTTTTTTTTTTTTTTTTTTTTTAAATGAACAATTTCCTAAATGCATGAGATGGTTTGATGGTTTGCTGCATTAAAGGTATTTGGGCAAACAAAATTGGAGGGCAGTGACTGCACTTTTAAGAATTAGTTTTGACCTTGATGATTTTTGTTTCCGCTGTGGAAATAAATGTTTGTAAATAAATAGAGTTAATAAAAATCCCTTTGCATTCTTTCTGGACCTTAAATGGTAGGGGAAAATGCTCTTGAGCTATTTCTTTTTCTGGTTGTAGCTGCTAATTCTAAAGCTGCTTCAGACTGCCTCATGAGGAGGTTAATCTACAATTAAACAATATTTCCTCTTGGCTGTCCATTATTTTCTGAAGCAGATGGTTCATCATTTCCTGGGCTGTTAAACAAAGCGAGGTTAAGGTTAGACTCTTGGGAATCAGCTAGTTTTCAATCTTATTAGGGTGCAGAAGGAAAACTAATAAGAAAACCTCCTAACATCATTTTGTGACTGTAAACAATTATTTATTAGCAAACAATTGATCCCAGAAGGGCAAATTGTTTGAGTCAGTAATGAGCTGAGAAAAGACAGAGCATATCTGTGTATTTGGAAAAATAATTGTAACGTAATTGCAGTACATTTAGACAGGCATCTATTTGGACCTGTTTCTATCTCTAAATGAATTTTTGGAAACATTAATGAGGTTTACATATTTCTCTGACATTTATATAGTTCTTATGTCCATTTTAGTTGTCCAGCCACTGGTGATTAAGGTTAAAATGAAAAAAATTATAGTGCGAATGAGACTCATTTCAAAGTAATTCCTTAAATCAGAACACGAACTCAGCTTGGCCTATTCTGAGTAGTTCCAAATAGTATTATACAGTCACGCTTTTTATTTTTAATTTATATTATTTGCAAATGTATATCTCTGATTAGGACTTAGACTGTTACTGAAATTTTATTTTATCCATGATGTATTTTTTTTTAATTCTTAGATATAGAGAAGGGTCTTATTTTTTAAATATTTCAGTGAAAAATGAGTTCATTGTGAACGCATCTTTTGAAATGTATTTTCTTCATTGCAGGTCCACCTAATCATCTCGTGAAAATGGTTTCTCTATGGAAAGCTTTGTTTGCTTCCTACAAATACATGCTTATCCCCTAAGGGATGTGTTATAGTCATTGTGGACATGTTATTTAGTATGTAGATTTGTTTTTTGTCTTACAAGAAATTTGCCTGTTTATTTTTTAATAGATTGTTTAGGATGAGGAGTCTGCGTCCTTACGCAGTACTGTGAAGAATTCCTCCCATCTTCCCCCAAGTAAGCCCAGTTGCTGTTTATGAGCAGTTCCAGTTTTTTTGTAGTATAATCTAAACCTGTTATTTCCCTGCTGTATAATAAATCAGATTTGGAACACTTAAATGTTGGATGTTTTTAAATATTGGTAATGAATGTAATTTACTACATAAAAAGGCTTCTGTAAAGCAAAACTCTTCATCAAGGGCATGTTGAGGATGACATTTTACCTTTAAGTCCACTCTGCCTCATTTAATTATGTCTATTCTGATGTATATTGGGGCTTCAGTCCTGGATAAAGTGATGTGTTGGAGTTCAGCCATTTCCCTGGTGCCCCTTTGGAGGCTCCGCAGGGCCCTGAGCCATCCCCTGGCCTCTCTCAGGATGGGCCCTCACTACGGCAGCCTCTGGTCGCCTCCTGGCATGGTGTTTTCTTAGTGGTGCCAGTGCTGTGGAGCTCATGCAGCTCATACATCCCTGTGCTGATGAAATCATCGTCCACATGCAGAGAGCCAAATGACAGGCCCTTCTGGACTTATCCATCAAATGCTAAATCAAAGTGAAGCCCTTGGGATGGTAAATAATGTAATAGCCAGAGACTAACTGATGGTATTGGTTCTTTAGTGTGATTATGTGCTTTTAAAAGTCATAACCACTTGGTTGAGGACAGCATAAATTTAAAACATTGTATAACTGAAAGAGAATTAATATAGTGTTGTTAAAGGTGACCAAATTAAAGCCATGTGTGGACCTGTTTCTGAAGTTGTGTAGGAGAGTTTTTTTTTTGGTGGTTCCATTTGAGTGTCCTCTTATCTCTTAAAATCCAATGTGCCTCCCTGTTTCCCCTGCATACTACTTAACCAGCTCCTTTTCATAATTGCCTGTTCATGATTATAGCCACCTTTCCCCCCAATTACCCAGTTGTGGTTAACTTGGCTTTTTAATATCAGTTTCTTATATACATGTTAAGTGTCTCAGGTTTATCTTTCTTCCTACTGCTTCTGTTCTGTGTCCTTCTTGTTGAATGCTGAAGTCTTTAGTCTCTGCCCCAAGTCCTCTGTCTTCAAGAGCAAATATTTAGCTGTGATCCAAGTGAGAAAGAAATTTTGAACTACAGTCTGGAACATATGTGAAGACAAAAGGTTCATGAACATTACTTGCCCTTCCTTCATGTGATGTACCTGGTGTATGTTTATTTTTCTTTTTCCTTTCATTTAAATGCTGGTTATGGTGCTCTGAACTGATTTTTATAACAGAACACATTGCCACCTGTAATTTGCAGAAATTGCTCAGTACCTTCCAAGATTTTAAAAAACTTTTGTATCATGCCATACTTGGAATCCTCTAGTGCTTCTTATTTTCATTGTGGCTCTTCAGTATCTACATAAGAAGGCTAGTTCCTTCCAAAACCTTTGTTGAATGTTCTCAGAAAGTTGGGAGACTAACCTTTATTGGGAATTCTAAGTAGAAGAAATGGTTCTGAGTCCACTGTGTACAGATTTAAAGATGTATTAGCTAGTGATTCTTTGTTCTATGGGAAACCCAGGCTTTGTTATAAGAACTGAGGTCACATTGTCCGTTTTAGCTTTGACATTCAAGCTCCTCAGTATTATACCTTTGTTATCTGTTTAACTCTAATGTTTCCTAAGGCTTTTTTTTGTTTGTTTTTCTCCATTCTTTTGGTACCAGAGATTGAACCCAGGGACACTTAACTACTGAGCTATCCCAGTACTCCTTATTTTTATTTTGAGCTAGGGTCTTGTTAAGTTGCTGAGGCTGACCTTTAACTTAAGATCCTCCTGCCCCAGCCTCCTGAGTCACTGTGATTACAGGCATGCACCACCATGCTTAGTGGCTTTTTTATTTTTGGTGAAAATAAGATTCTTTGGTTAGGTAAAGCTAGTTCCCCTCTCTAGATGGGGATTCAGCATGCATTAGGCTACTGAGAGCTTGGAGAAATCCAGCAGTAAAGAAGTCTTTCTAAATTTGTTTTATTCGTCATCCCCCACATTCCTTCTTTGTCAAGTCTACTTCTTGCTCCTGTTGCACTGTACCCTCCAATCATTTTATATTTCACCACTCCTAGAAAGCACTGGGGTTCTGAAAATGCTGAGAGTCTGACTAGTTGCTTCATTGTAATTCAGGGGCTTGTGTTGATTCCCAAATCACAGTTTTTGTTCCTGGATTGCTCTTTCAAGTTTTTTTTTTTTTTTTTAATATTTATTTTTTAGTTGTTGTTGGATACAGTATTTTATTTTTATGTCATGCTGAGGATCGAACCCAGGACCTTTCACGTGCTAGGCGAGTGCTCCACAGCTGAGCCACTATCCCACCCCATCTTTCAAATTTTAATTTGAATCATGCAAGGTCCTGTTCAAGGTCCTTTTTTCCGTGTAGTCCTCCATCCTTGTTGCAGCTCACAAATATGTATGCCCTACCTCAAAACGTACATGAAATGAAGTGCCTTCTACTTCTGTACCTTTGGAGGTACTTGCTTGTACTGTTCGGTGCTTAGGAGCAGGGACTACATCTTTTTGTCTACTCTGGCACGTGAATGTTGGAATACTTTAATATTGTTGAAGTGATTTATTTATTTATTTATTTATTTATTTTTAAACTTAAAGGGACTGGGGATGTCGTTCAGTTGGTAGAGTGCTTGCCTAGCATGCACAGGGCCCTGGGTTTAATCCCAGCACCACAAAACAAACAAATAAAAACTTGAAATGTAGTTTTGGAATGTAGATAATTTGGTACCCTAGATGTGACCTGAGCCTATTAAGTGCATAAAGTAATAGAATTAACTTAAAAAAATTGAGATAACACAGATGCAGAAATTATGGTATAATCCTACGATGGAGGATAAGCTTTTTTTGTTTTTCTTGGCAGGGCAGGGGCTTACTGGGGATTGAACTCGGGGGCACTCAACTGAGCCAGATCCCCAGTCCTATTTTGCATTTCATTTAGAGTCGGTCTCACTGAGTTGTTTAGTGTCTCTCTTGCTGATGCTGGCTTTCCTCTGGTAATCGTCCTGCCTCAGCCTCCCAAACTGCTGGGATTACAGGTGTGTGCCACTGCGCATGGTGAGGATAAGATTTTTTAGCTTCATTGGGTTATAATTGGGTAAAAATACACATATTTACATATGTGCTTTTTATGGATGTATGTTTTATGGTGTGATGTTTTGGTGTGCGTATATTGAATGGATCTGTCACTTCACACAGTTAACCATTCTTTGTGGGTGTGGTGAATTAAATTTCAAGTATACAGTACTTAATTATTAACTATTGTCACCTTGTATATTAGATCTCCAGAACTTATTCATCTAATAGGAGATGTCTACTTTTAGCATTTTGATTTCTCTCTATTCCTAAGGATTTTCTGGGCTATTTCTCCATAAAATTGTTAACCAAATATGAAAAATGCCTGGGTGGGTGAATTTGAAGATTTTGAGATGTTATGACTTATGGTATAGGCAACATGGCTTGTATGACATTTTGCTTTGGGGAGCTATCCTAGGTACCTGGTTACCCCCTGGCGCATCAGAAGTCTGGATGCAAGAAATCTCTGACCATGACCATGGGAATTCCCCCATGTGGACAGGAAACAGCAACTTCAGATTTGCATCCTTGGTGTCACATGGACAGCCTCAAGCTGCTCCAAATGGCTGATGACAGATCTACAATTAGCTGCTTCTCACACAGGCTTTTGCTCTTTTTGCTGTTCTAGGGTAAAGGGCTGCTGGTATTTACATATTTACCTATGGCTGAAATGCTCCTGTGCAACAATGGGGGCCAGTTAGTGCTTCATATGATTTTTGGCTTATATACCTATGCTGCTTGATGCACTTAATATATTATGAAAATTCAAATTTTTCTTATTTTTAATGGTCAACTAATTAATACTTGAGTCTTTTGAACAAACCTTTAGTGCCTGCTGTGTGCCAGTCACTGCTAGGTGTTGGGACACCAGTGAAAATAGATAAGGTTCCTCCTCTCATTGAGTATGCTTGATAGATCAGTATGGGGCTGATGCTATGATACCATTGTGTGGCCACATTTTGTTTTTAAAGAACTTGGCTAACTGGTCCTTAAAACTATTACCCTGTTACCAAAGGAGTCAGCTAAGTTTGGTGATTGTTCAGCCAGAAATGTGGCTCAGTTGTAGAATGCTTGGTGGCATGTGTAAAGCCCTGGGTCTGACCCCAGCACCACCCCCCAAAAACAGTTTGTTTTTGTACTTTTTAAAAAATATATTTATTTTTTAGTTATAGGTGGACATAATATCTTTATTTTGTTTTTATATGGTGCGGAGGATCCAACCCAGTGCTTCATGCTTGCTAGGCGAATGCTGTATCTCTGAACCACAACCCAGCCCTGGTTTTTGCTTTTAAATCTAAGATCACCTAACCGGTTTACTCAGGCAGTGTGACAACCAGTACACCAGAAAACAATTTGGGTAGAGAGCTATTCAATTATCTGGCTAGTTCTCCCCACATCCCGGTACCACCCCCCTTGTGGTACTAGAGATTGAGCCCAGGATGCTCTGCCACTGATCTACACCCCAACCCTTTTTATTTTTTACTTTGAGATCAGCTTTCACTAAGTTGCTCAGGCTGACCTTAAACTTGTGTCCTTCTGCCTTGGCCTCCCAAGTAACTGCCATTACAGGTAGGTACCACCTGATTAATTTGGCTAGTACTTCAGAGAATTAGAAGCATAGCATCTTGTCAAATCTTTTAGCCTCCTGAACCTCAAAGAGCCTGTCACTCTTCCAGAATCGAATCTTTTAGGCAGTGTGACATGGCAGTGTGAATCTTGGAGTTGAGCCTTTGAATCCTGACTTTACCGCTATATTCCTTGCATCTCTAGCCAAATTAGTTTAAATAATAATGTCTTCATCTGTAAAATTAAGGTAATACCTAGCTTATAGAATTTTAACAAATACTTAAAAATATTTATCAGGGTGCCCCAGACACAGCCAATGAATAGCAAATCTCTGCTCTTGGAATGAAAAATAATCTATCAGATATAATTGGTCAGCTGACAGATTTTTTTTCTCTTATAAATTAATGTAGTTTTCAAACTATTGAATCTTATTAAATATGCCAGCAAATGCTTTTAAAAATATTTTAAACATTTAGGAAGACTCAAGATCAGATCCATAAAATACCATCTTGATTTTAAAATGTACAGTATTTTGCCATTTTCATCTTTTAAAATGAAATTTTGCACATACTTGAAATGTCATTGTACCCCTCCTCACCCCATTCCCATTTTTAATTTTTCTTAAGTATTTTTGTTTATTTGTACTTAGCTTTTGTAGTATCCATATACAAGATGTATTTTGGAGTTTTGAAAATTTGCATGAATGATAGTTCCTATCCTGGAATGAGCCCATCCTCCTTCAACATCACACATGGTTAAGAGATGTGATAGAGGGGCTGGAGTTGTGGCTCAGTGGTAGAGTGCTTGCCTAGCACATGTGAGGCACTAGGTTCAAACCTTAGCACCACATAAAAATAAAAAATATTTAAAAAAATGTGATAGAAGGAAAGGGTAGAAAGAAGAAAGCTACAAATGACTCAGCAGCAGCAAAGTTGTCCAGGGGAGTGGCTAAGCTACGTACCTCTTTTTAATAGATCAGCCTTCATGATGAAAGGAATGGCAGCTGTCTCTACCACTGACCTAAATTCCTAGCCCTTTTTATTTTTGTCTTTTAAGGATGGAAACCGTATAACCTAACCAAAAGTTTTTTTCCTCCAG